GCTGTCCAGGGATGTCGTTTCAAAATTTCCACGCAATGTTTTTTTGTTCATGATTTCATCTATTTTTGTAAAGTACACCAATCCCCCTTGCTGCAAAAGAAAAAAATGTTCACCATTTTCCTTCCAAATGTAATGACAGCCATTGTAGCCAAATACTTCAATTTTTTGTTTCATTTTTTGACGTCTCAGAAGTCGAAGGTTTTTTTTTTTTTTTTTTAATCCCTGAAAGCGTTATACAGCTTACGCAAACATTTGGTTTCAACTGTGTCAAATTTTATTTTTCCTTTAAATCTGCTTCTGCTTTGTGCAACTTATCAAAAAACAAAAAAAAGAAAATGTTATTTCCTTTTACCTTTTAAAAATAAAATAGACTCAAATGGAACCGTGTGAAAATGTGTTATTTTTGTCACGTCTGTTTGGTTTCTGTGTTTGAATGTTGAGAAATGTAATATTTATGCAGAAATCTTCCATGTAAATATCATTTATTAAGTCTAGATCTCAATGTTTGTGCTATCTGTGGAAACAGGTTTAGAATATTTAACTCATTTTTTTTTTAGTTGATATATTTCAAACATAATTTTTTTTTTTTAAAAGTGAAGGGGAACAGCTTGACTTGATGTTTTAAGCGAAACAGGTTAAACTCTATTTAAATTTTCTGATTTTATGTTATTGATTGGTAAAACATATCCATAACTGGTCATTGTTTGCAATTAGTAAAGAAACCTGCTGATGTGAGTGTTATGAAGTACATTTAAATCATCCAAAAACTAAAAATATGTTTTAAAACTTGATTTCAAAAGACTGAAATACACTTCTGAGTGAAATCAAGCAGATGAACACAGCTGGACTTTCAGGAGTTCATTTATTTCCTCGCTGTTTATCTGTGCTTTGTTATTCTGTTTGAGTTTTTGTGGAAGCTAAAACATATCACAACTGAAACTGAAGTTTTACGGTCAAAATCCCTCTGATAGAGTAAGGAGAACCTGAGTTCACTGCTCCGACCAGCAGATGCCACCACAGGCTTTGGGAACAGGCTCCCAAAGCGCGTCGCCAGCATCAGTCAATTAATGTTGACTTAGTCTGTGCAAGTATGCGACTCATAAATCCGCAATGTGCAATAAACCCCGGTAACACGTGACTTTATTGATGAAAGTCTTCTCTTCTTTCTTTCTCACAGTGAAGATGGATGGTTGTGTAGGAATAAGGACTGAGCCTGGCTGCAAACAATTTAAGAGGCTAAACAGGCCGGGAGGGGCTGGAAGGCAGAATAAAGGAAGCATCTGAGCAGGAGGTGGACTAATTTAAGCGATCTTTACTCCGCCACAGTCCACAAGCCCACTCAATACCTCTCCAGCTCCCTGTGAAAGAGCTCTCCGAGGGCTGAAAAACATTCCAGAGCGAGAAAGTACTTGGTGACCGAGATGCGCTTTAGTTTGGACGACAAGAGCAGGAGGGAAAAAGGTTGTTGTGATGATAATAGAGACCTATCAGATCTTTGACAAGACAGTTTGTGTGGCTTGACGGTAGCGAGCTTCTCTGCAGCCCGGGTGGGGGATGGGGGGGGGTTTCACGTGTGATCGTGGAGGTTTGCAGGGGAGGCCTCTCGGTTGTACAAACAGGGAGGGCATCCACAAAAGAGGCGATGACGCACAAACAAAGATGGCCCTGGATATCTCAGAGAGCTCGTCTTTTACGTCTGTAAGGAGAGACGCAGACCTCAGGACGGATCTGTAACTTCCGTCCTTCTCGCTGAAGCCCAGGTGCTCGCGCGACATTTGTCTACGTCTGCTGATTTTGCAGTTTCTAAACTTCTATGTGTAGCAGAATGGGAAGAAGTGGGGTAGCTTGCTCATGTGAGGTGGGGAGGGGGAGAAAAAATACAACACAACAAAAGGGAGAAAAAGGGCATTCTCTGTAAGAGTACAGTGATGGATTGGTAGGTCTTCTGCTCCATTATGAGAGAACCGCAGGAGGAAGTGCTGCACAGATTCTAATTCAGAAAAAAAAAGATAATCAGATTTTAAAAGGTTTTTTATTTTTCCTTAAAATGCAGGCTTGCAGAAGTATTTGATGCCCTGTTTTCAAATTTTGGTGCACATTTGAGTTCAGCCTCCTTACTTTGATACCCCAATATAAACTGCAGGGCAAAGAGCAGCAAGAAGACAGTCGTTGTTGAAACAAAGTCATGCATTTGCTAAAAGCCATCAGACAGCAAACATGTTTACAGCGAGATGAGATGAAAATTATTTTTAAAAAACACTTTATGAGGAAGAAAGCTGCCACTGCACATCACCCTGAACACATAATCTATGTGAAACATGGTAGTGACAGCATCATGCTGTGGGAAAAGCAGTAAGGTGACTCAGGCTGATGGGAGGATAGATGGAGCTAAATGCTGGGAGAAAATCAGAGGCCAAAAATTCACCTTTCAGCAGGACAATGACTCAAAACAAACAGACAGAGGATAAACAAAACACCACCTTCATGTGCTGAAATGGTCTAATCAAAGTCCAGACCTATAGACCAATTAAAAAGACTTAAAAAGGTATGTGGTTGGGCCATTTCGCAAATAAAAAAGGCAAAAATTTCAGACATTACATGTACAGAACTGGGAGATTTAAACCCAAATAGATTTGCTGCTGCAATTGAAATGAAAAGGAGTTGGAAACTTTTCAGATTCTTGATTTACAAAAGGTTTAAAGATATTTTAAACATTACTCCTCCACTTTGTAATCACCCCATATATTTATCTCAACCTAAGGCATGAAATCCCAGTCAAATGCATTGGATTTGAGATTAAAATGTGACAAAATATGGGAAAAGTTGAGTAGTATGAATTCAACTACCCAAAGAATCAATGCATTTCACCCACTGAAAAACATATAGTTGTGTACAACTGTTGGTGCATGTAGGGCTGTGGATGAATGGGATACTTCAGAAGAAACTCTGCCCATGTAATTCAGAGTGAAAAGCTGACCTGGTTAGCACTCTGTGCCCCCCAAATGGGGGGCTTGCTGTCCCCTCACTGTCCTCCGCCACTTCCAATTCCTCCAAAAAAGATTGTGTTGGTGGAAAACAGTTGCACTTTAAGCTACATAATTATTTTCTCTGCGTTTAACACCCAGGTGGTTGAATTAAGAAGCATTAACAAAAGTAATTTCGTGTTATCCTCAGTTGGATTACTTTGGCAGAAAGCCCAAAAAAAGTTTGAATTTTTAATGAATGTTTGAATTTTCCAAGCTCTAAGATGTCTGGGTACCAGAGTAGATTTTAAAGATAATCACCTTAAATTCCTAAAAGATTTAGATTATTATTTCAGCCTGTAAACAAGGCACTTTAAAGAAAAAAATCATCTGCTGTCTCAAAGAACCAAAAAAATGCTCTTAAAATCTACATAAAATAATTATATATTTCACTTTTTTTTTTTTTGGAAAATAAAAGTTGAAGAGAAGCAGAAGACAAGTTAAGTCTCACTGAGAACACGTCGTCTTTTTTTGGATGGGGCTGTTTGATGTTGTGGGCGGGAGGGTAAAACACAGGAAGGAACACCAGCTTCTTGCACTCAGAGCTGCTGGAGCTTCAGTCTGTGGAGTTTCATTACCGAGCTTTAAAAAATAAAAATAAAAATCACAACATAAATTAAGCAGAATATTATTGGAATTACGCACCGAGACGCCTAATAAGCTGTGCTTGAAAGAACAAAGATGCTTTTTCTAAACTAGGAAACAATTAGCTTTATCTTAAAGTCTGAAATAGCATGTAAAAGCTTGCGGAGATCTGGGAAATGTGGTGATTCGGGTGGAAGAAACGTCTAGATGAAAGAAGGAAGCAGCAGCTTTGTTCTGCTAAGAACAGTCTGTAAGGACCGAGACGAATCATAAACGTTCTGGAAACATTCTGGTGACAGCTGTGAACGTACCGTGTCTTGAAAAAACATTTAAACCCCCTGATTTATTTTCACATTCGGTCACGTTCTATCGCAATGTCCTCCACCGGGATTATAGATGCTAGACAAACACAAAGCAGTGCATGCTTGTGAGCTGGAGTGAAACGAGTCAAAAAATCTGAACCTGTTCAGTGCATCACCTGAAAATGGAGATAATCTACCAAAACATGGGCATCTAAATGACAGTAAAATGATATTTTTGATCAGTTAAAAGCCCCTTTCACAACTCCACTTCTGGACAATCAAACTACAGCACGTCTATTAGTTGTGCAGCCTGTAAAGAAATTAGATGTTTATGGAAACCATAAGAAGCTCTGTCTGCTTTTTGTTTGTCTCCAAACAAGAGGAGAACAGCAAACACGTGGAAGTAGGTGCAAATGTGTGACAAAGAAGTAACAATGGACATTAACTAAAACAAGGGAAAACTCCGGATGAATCTAAATCCAAAGTTGACATTTTATATTCACATATAATCTGTATCCAGTGAGATCTGGATTAGGGGAAAATGTGCAAAACTGGTTGTAATTTACCAACAAGAACACTTTAATCTAATCTCAGCAAAAAGTGGGTCAAAGCTTTGAAAACAAATGCATCCTACATTTTGTTTTAGCTGGTAAGCATCTTTAAAAATATATTACTCTAACACAAAATGCCAATAAACTACCCTGAGGATGTGAGTGACACTTTTTGGGACATTTTTAACAGTTTTTTTTTTGCTGTTTCATAGGTATTTCTTGAAAATCTTTCTTTGAATTTAATTGTCAAATCTCGCAAGTGTTGTTCAATCGTCCAATTTTAAGAAGGCTCTCCTTTAATATTGAGCCACTTTCGACTATTTCAAAAATAAAAACAAAGCAAGCAAATATCATAGCCATGCTCTGGCATCTACAAAGAAAAAAAAAACACTTATCCATATTTTCATCTAGAAAGAGGCGACGGCAGGAGAGGAAAAGATCTGATTAATCAATATCTGTGGAGTTATCAACAAAGATGACGTAATGTGAATACCAATGGATCATTCCTGGATGGGGAGGATGCTGTGGATCTGTAACCAGGGGCCCGCTCGCTCCCAGTGTCAGGTGTGCCCACGGCCTCCCCGCTCCCGCCGGCCCACTTGGTACAGTCCACATGCGGTTCGGAGTTGTTGCCGAGGAGGTTCCACTTTTCAGCGCTCCTCAAACTGGCATGCATCCTACGCTTTGGCCAAGCAGCAGGGGACTGCACTTCTTTTGACAATGCCACTCTTTTCTGAGCGGAGGCATCTCGGACGGCAGAGCAAGAGCGCGCTCTGCTACGTTTTGTGCTTTATTTCAGGTGAGTCCGGGTTTATTTTAAGGTATTTTTATTTTTATTTTTTTCTTCCGGCGTACAGACAGAAGTTTTGTCAAGAAGCATCAGAGAAACCTGAGCGAACCAGCCGGTACCGACAGCCGGACGCCGCGGCGTGCTTTCGAGACGAAGTTTGTGTTTTGCGTGAGTTCAGCCGGTGTCGTTTAGAGGCTGAAACTTGGTGCCAAGTTCGCTTCGGAGGAGCCGGCAAGCGGTCAAGCGGGCTGGCATCTCCGTGGTTGGCGGTGCGAGCTGGAGAGACGGGGAACTCGGTGACACGGAGTGATTTAAACCCTCAATTAGCGAGCGAGGAGGTCACTGCGGAGCCAGTGGCAGCCATATTAGCGTCATAAAGTGTTATATTAACGTGACGTGATGCGGCGAAGCCACCTGCTTTGACAAAAGAGTTGAGGAACTTAAATTTGAGTCACCAGACAGAGACGGTGCTGATAATACAGCCTCCCACCCCCATCACACACACACACACACACACACACACACACAGTGGGATGAGGGTCAGCCCCCATGTGCAGCCTGAGCTCATTATGGTTTAATCAAAGAGTGGGCAGTTTACTGTCTCCACCCAGAACCACGCAAGTTTGTGCCCACTGATTCTCGTGCAGCACCAGCAACCAGAAGAGCCAGAGCTCTTGGGTTTGGGATCCAGCTTGGACTGAAAACTCGGCTCTGATCTGCCCTCAGTTCAGAACCCAGGAAGGCATAATGAATGAGACGATGTGATCCAGCAAAATGTTAGTTTCTTTCTTTTTTATGTCGGATATCGTGCAAAACTATGCACAATTCCAATAGATGTATGCACCATAGCTGGTTGCTGCACACTACCCGTTAGCTGGCTGAAAGGCACCTATGTTAGCTGTGGTCAGTGCCAGGGATAACTTAAAAAAATATTATTCTACAATCTAGAGCAGATAGCCTGACTAACTTCAAGGTTTCCACCAGAAAACTTACTAAGCCAGATGGTTAAAGCACTGGGCAGTCATTCATCCAGCGGCCCGCCGTGTTTTTGAGTAAAAAAATTTTTAATGTTGACAGGAAATTTTAAAATATCACTTATGCGTTATTGGAAATTAATATCTAAACACAAAATATAAAGTCTTAAAAAATGCAAACATTAAAAAAAAACTTAAGTAAATAAGCTATGCTTATCCTGGTGGGNGCACAAGTAAAGCCTGGTGACCCGCCAGGCTTATAACGCACTGGAGGAAACCCTGAATTTATTAGTTACCAGCTCAATATGTAGCAAAGTGATCTAATATGCAGCCCAGGATGTGGTTTCAATTAACTATTTTCCCTTTTTAGTGTTTGTTACGAAAAGTTGTTTTAAAAGTTCAATTCTAGCTGTATGTCCCATACAGCTAGAATTATCGATATATCGATATATGTAGAGGTGATCGATATATGTACAGGTGTTTAAATGTTGAGTGGGGATGGGTGAATGTTACTGATTTTATTTTTATTTTTTGTTTTTCTAGGGACAAGGACAATAGGAGAAAAAAAAAATCATAATCTTTAAATTTTTAGCCTAAACTATTTTCCAATGTTTGTCTGTAGTTGGGCTTTTGGATACGTAAAAACGTAGAATAGTATGTAAACTTGAAAATGCAGAAATAAAATGGAATCAAAGTAAAAAAAAAAAAGAAAGAAAGAAATGTTAAGAATCCTTCATCATATTCATCATGATCTGATCAATGTAAATATGTAGAGATGCAATCCACATCCCTTTAAAAACGCACAGAAACAGTCATTTTAATTTAGTCCAAAACTATTCATGCTACACTTGATGGGTGGTGAACCAAATAAAAAAAAAAAGCAACAGCTTTTATATTTTAATTCCTTTACAAGTTCTGCTGCCAATCATGTAAGAGTTGAGCATCTTCTGTTTCACAGTTTCTGTTTGTGCCTCACAGGATCCTCCACTTGAGTGTTGCGGAGCGTTTCCTCTGCAGTCTGCAACGACCGCAGGCCTTTGCGTACTGTGCTTAGATAAATTTTGGTGAGGATTAGAAAAGTCACCCATATATTCTTTAGCATATTATTAATATCCTGCATATCGTCTTGTTGTTAACATGAGTCATCGTTTTGTTTCAAAGCTGTTAATGAATCTGCGGGTTCAAGTTTAGGGGCAGAGACGGCTGTTTTCGTAGGTCTAGTTAAAGTCTGCTGCACATTTCAGTGAGAGTTTTGACCTTCCGCTTGTTTTGAATGCAAAATAGATGTGCAAACCGTTTCAATTTATACAGACAAGTTGTACAGACTTTTTTCCCCTCCCGTTTCTTCCCTTTTCCCCCCTTTTTTTCCCATACAAAAACATGCACTCATCACTGTTTCCATCCTCTCTTCATTACTCTACCTTTAAGTCAAAATTCTATTAAATATTGGACTGATGACAGTATGTGACTGTTCCACAACTTGAGCTGCACAGAGTTAGTGAAGAAAGTCGCATATTCATACGTTTCCTGCTCAGTAAAGGCTCCATCCCTAACCTGTGGAAGTCGCTAAAGAGGGAAGATGCCCATTTTCAGTTTGAGCAACATGTTTAAAAATGAATATAAAGCAAAAAAGACAACATGGCCTGCAAAATTTATAAGATCTCTTGAAAGAGTGATGAGCAGGACCGCAAGGTGAATGTAGAATCCTATATTGACTTACACCAACCCTGAAAGAGTTTGCAAATGTTGCTTTTGCAAATGCAAAGAATCGTGAGATGAAGTAAGATTATCCAGCCGTTCTGTTATCTTATTGTGAAACTTAATCACAAAACAATTTTAGCAACATAGTTACTTGTAGAGTCTGGGCAATCCTAAATCCTTGGATTAATTAACCTTTTTAAGGCATGGTTAATATTTTAGAAATCTTCTTAACTTTATAAGATTTTTAGCAGAGATCTTCACAATCTTTCAATTTTTCAAGCATCTTGCAGAACATCAACATGTAAAAAAAACTTAGTTACTAACTGGTCAAGAAATTAGAAGTGACTAAACATCAGTTAATTTCATATTTGTTTATTTTACTAGCTCAGACACCAACTATAAGTTGATATTTAATTGAAGCGGACATTGGAAATGATATTTTTACTACCACAGAAGCTAAAATCTACAGTCTTCCTTATTGTCTCTCTTGCACGGCTAATCGCCACCAAGGAAAATGAATGGCTCTCCTGGATTGGTTGCTTTGGAAACCCCAGCCAATAGCATCACAAGTAGCAGAGCTCACGTAGGTCAACTTCCCAAAACGCATTTCTTTAAAATAGTTTATGCTCTGTGGAAGAAATCCTAATAATTATAGACAAATTTCTGTGAATAATTTGAAGATACTCTCCACAGAAAAAGTCCACAAGTTGGTGAATTAGAGAATACTGAACCGTGACTAGGCAGTGGTCCACTACATCATGAAGACTGAGTCAGTATTTTTCCACAGGTATACTCAATAAACCATTAAAACATTTCCTTAGCAGTAAGAAACTTGAAACTCTTGATATAATTTGTTCTCGGATACTTTTTTTCTCTCGTTGGAGCTATTATAAGAAATATGTTGGAAATTGGGTAACATTATCCAGACATTAACACCAAAAATCTGAGAATTAGAAAAATCCTCTTGTTTTTTTCCTTTCCTATTGATTGAAAATGTTTTTTTTTAATAAAACAGCTCTAGGATTGCCTAATGTTTTACACTCAGTGAATGTTCACATTTGCTTTGCCTTCTCATGTTCTAAGGAAGTGGGCTTTACTGCCCACCTGGTCAATAATTTGACCTTAGCCGTGTTGCTTTACTCACAGCTCGGTGTGTTGCTCTAGAGTCATTCTCTGCCAAAACACAATGCCCATCTATGATGCACTTTTCTGCTGGCCAAGTCTTGTTCCTCCTTAGGGATTTGCTTCTAATTAGGCACTTTGTTCTGTTTATTACAGCCATTCATAACTCGGGTCTTGACACTTGATTTAGGTAGTGAGAAAATGCTGACTCAGAAGTGACCTAACTGTTGCCTTAACAACAAAACTGCACCTAATTTAAAAAGGTTAATTGAATCCATTTGACATTAAAAACGGATTGAGATTAGTTGGAGGCATGAGATCCGATACTCCTCCGCTGTCCTCCTTATCATTCACAACGAGATCCGTCACTTCCACCCCAACACTATTACCACTTGTCCAGGAATCTCCACTTTCACCAAGACAAGCTGCCCTTTAGCAAGGTACACATACTAATACACTTACCGCCACATAAGTGGCGCACGTGGAGGTAATATTGACTAAAGTGAGAACAAGCCGAGTGTCCCCAAGGAGCAATTTGTCCTTGATGCCAGGACGATAATAAGTATAATCTGTTTTCTACTCTCCGTCAGTGAGACGCGGTGTGTTGAATTTGCAAACCTAACTGAACGCGTCTGGAGGTTTCTCTCTTTAGGTTATAATAAGAACTCCTCTCTCGGTCTCTGGGGGTTAGGAGGCAGGAATCACAGTCGCTGTGTCAAGATGGGAGGCACGTTGGATCAGTTGGAGGATGCTCTGATCATCATCACTCTTCTTACTGAGCTGAGGGAAACAGGGCCACGGTTATGTAAGCTTGTCATCACGTCTCCAATAAAAATTTAATTCGGTGGCTATACCTCTTCCATTTCATATTCGGTGCAGAAGAAATTCCCACTGCTGTGACGAGATTCTTGCCCCCCTCCCCAATTTCCACCATTCAGTATGGCTCATAATTGGCTTTTTGCAGAAGGAAGTGGATCACTTGCTCCGTATTGTTTTGTTGTTTCAAGCTGGATTTAGGTTTGGCATTTCTGTGCATTCACTAGCTAAACAAACGTTGTTCTGTTAGTGTCATGGAGGTATTTGGCTTAGCCCACTTGGCGAGGGACAAGCGAGATTACAGATCGGTTTACAGTCCACTACACTGGCATTTTACCATTTTTTTCCATTTGTGGGGGGATGGAGGCATGTTCAACACTGTGTACTAAAGAAATGAATATTTGAATGAACCTACCTTTAAATGCCAACGTACAAGTAAATGAAAAATATAATGCATTAAAACGTATATGTGGCATAAAGCTTGAGCCGTAATCACATAAAATGCACGTAAAACATGAAGTAATAAAGCAGATTTTAGGTTTTATGGCGAAGCTGGCAGAAGTAATGTTTTCAGTCCTGATGCATATGCTGCTCCCTCTTCAGTTTCCAATTATCTGAGGGTTTAAATGGTTCAGACCAGGCCAGAAACTCTGAAATGTCTCTGTATGTCACAGCAAGTGCACGAGTTTTTTGAATATTCACTGTTTTTAACAAATATTTATTATATTGATTGTCCACCAATGGTGATAAAAATCAGTTACTTTTATTTTGACCAGCTCTGAACAGGTCAACTTTTGAAAAATCTGATTTTTTTCCCTCTTCTTGTTGCAAACTGATTGGATAACTCTCTTTTTGTTCTATTATAAATGGATAAAATATTTTCAACATATATTTAAAAAAAAAAGTCTGGTAAAGGTTGGATGCTCACTTTAAAACTGCTGCTACCTTCCAGGAACACGTAGCATACTTTTACTGATTAATGCCTGATGTATTTAATTGTTGAATGAGTGCAAGTCTACAGAAATGGACCAAATTATTTGTCATAAGTTTTTTTTTTTAAATTTCATTGAAGAAAGAAAATCTGTATGTGAACAAGTACAAGCTGGCCTTTTAAAACGAGGCCAGAGTTCTTGTTGCAAAGTGATTTAATGCCGACGGAGAAACTTTAATCGGAAAAACTAATTGCTAACATGAACATAATGCCCTTAACACCCTTTAAACACGCTTCTTTTTAACAGTTTTGCAATAATCAGAATATTTTCTAAAACCAGTTTCACTGGCTTAAAATTTAATAGGTTCCAGAGATGTTTTGGGGTTTATAGCACCGACACAAAAATCAACAATAAAATGATGATTTGAGAGGGTTTTACTGACCACTGTGTGTACTCTGAAAGGCCAGAACACGGAGGGGCTGCGCGGATAACGACAGAGATCTTCATCGGCTTCGGTGCAGCGTGGCACTGGAAAGTATCGGGCTCTGGTATTCATGCGGTTATTACTCCGACACATCCTGTTCTCAGTAAGATGAGATTTACATCTTACTGATGTAAATCAGTAAGACCATTCCAGTCTGGGTCAGTCTAAATCAGAAATGAGATCTGCATTAAAGGAATAACAATTTCACAGCTAAGTAATGTCACACTGGCACTGCTGTTCAATTCAGCTGAGCTTCGGCAAAGGTTTTGAAGACTTCCTCAGCAGATCAGTCCGAGAGAATACACAATATTAACATTTGTAATGCCAACCGAAAGCGATTGCTACTGCTTTAAAAATAGGGACACTTGCACTTTGTGCTTTACTTTCAGGGAAATTTCCAGCGACTGTGCCAGTTTCTGAAGACCTGCTCCTTTGTAGATTGAGGTTGGTCAACGACTGAACTGTTTTTGGCAAAACAACAGAAGAATATTTGGAGTCTGTTCCCATCCGAGTGCAGCCGATTTCAATTTGCAGTGATGTTTTCCTCTTGACGGCTTGTTACAATTAGGGATTTAATGAAAGACTTGAAGTGTGTGATTGTTGCTCGATGCATTTTATTATGTTAATATTCTAATTCCTGTTTTTGTATTTAAAGCTGATGTTTCTCCTCAACGCGCTCCTGCCTCTCCTCTCCCTCAGCCTTCTTTTCTTCTCTTAATGATGATGTCATCGTGTTAGCATATCACTTCCCTTCCTTCCCTTTTTTTCCCCTACCAGATGCAGTCTGTTCTCGTCATTTGGACTTTCCTCAGCGTAGCGTTGAGCTCCAACATTTCAGTCTCGCAGCATTTCTGCCTCGTGTAGGGAGCAGAGTGCATGGGTTGGTTATATTTGGACAAAAGACGTACACAAAGTCTGATTATAATTCCTGAATTCAGGTCAGTAGGAGGGAGACTTTTTTTGTGATTGAGAGCAATTAGTCTCCATGTAAGCTGTGGTATTTGTTCTAACCCCCAATTCTTGCTTTGGTTAAGACGTTTTTAAACTGATGCCAGAATATGTCAGAGGGTTTGGACTTTAACGTCAAAAATACACTTCTCCCTGATATTTTTGACTTTTCCTGTTCAAGTATTTAAAGTATTATATTGCAGTGGTTTTGGATGAGGTTTAGTGCTCGATTCAGTACTGAATGTTTTATCTACAGTCCAAGCTTTTCTTCTTGTCATTGACTGGACAACATCCATGCATACACTAATACACATAAGATATGTCTTTTATTTTCTTTTTTTATCATTTGTTCTCAGAGGAATGGTATGTCTTACAAATAAAAGTAAATCAATTTGTCACTCTGATCCATATTTGAGATCTCAGGATTATTGCTTCAATGACCAGCACTTTATTTTGTTTTGTAGATGACTTTATAAAGATCTACCATTCCAAGTTTCAGCTGGTGTAGCTGGCTAAACTATAAATGAAAATGCTTCATATTCTTTTACGTTTGTGGAAAAAATACTTCAGAAGAATAGCTCAAAAGTTAATTTTTTTTATTATTTTGTTGTGCACTATGTCGAGGTGTTTTTTTCAGCCACAGCACAGATGACCTGAAGAAAGTCCCACTCAGGTGCCCATTACCAGTACAACGAAATGAGACCGTTGAGAAATTTGTGAGGAAACGTATTGTTGGAGAAAACTAAAAGTTTCTCATTCAGGATGAGTTATGCAGCTATAGTCATAAATGGGTTTTCACCAGTCCTGTTCATTTTCATCCCAGCAGGTAAGAACGTTTTTAATCGCCCAGGTGTATTGTGGCTGTTGCCTTTTAAATACTCTCATCTTTGGTGAAAGGAAAAAAAAAAAAACGTACTGCAGCCTTTTCTGTTGACATTTTCTAAGTCGGTGAAATATTACACATTTTAGGGAACAAAAAAATAAATACTACCGTGGTCCTGCTAAGTTCTTGAAGTCGGTTCAAAGAAATAAAATTTACAGAAGTTTAAGACTTAATTGTCCAGGATTTGGGCATCCTGACATTAATCTGTTTCTGAGAGCTATCTGTTTATGCAAGGATTAATCAATTTAAATCGTTTTTATCAAACTCTATGGATCGTCTTCCAAAACAAATACATAAATCTAAGGGGAAGCTTTCAAATGTCAATAAAGTTAAATGGTGAACTTTAATTTTGACTGAGGATGTGAAAAACACTTTACGAAATTCCTTCATGTTCTTTTTAAAAAAAAAAAAAGTATATTCCTGAATTGCGGTTAATTATTAAAGTTTCTAAGCCTTTTGTGATGGACGTTGTTGCGGCTAACTTGCCTTTTGGGTCCTCTTGGCAGGTGCTGTGTGCAGTCAGGTGGTGGTGCCTCAGAGAGTGAGTGCCGTGCTGGGAAAGAATGTGACTTTAGACTGCCGGGTGGAGGTTGGCACAAACCTGACTCTGACTCAGAGTTCCTGGGAGCGCCGCCTGCCTTCAGGCTCCGTAACCGTGGCGGTGTACAACCCCGAGCTTGGCACCTTCATCCCACCGGAGTACATCAACCGCTTGCATTTCCGGTCGCCGTCCTCTCGCGATGCCACCATCGTGCTGGAAAACGTGGGCTTCTCAGACGTGGGGATCTACACCTGTAAGGTGGCTACGTTTCCTCTGGGAAACACGCAGGCCTCTACCACCATCAGCGTGCTTGGTACGTATCGTAACGTTAAGTCCTATGTTCTGTAGACTCCGTCACACGTGTCTGACACTCTTTATTAGCCGGTGCCGTATTGTTCCACATTCTATGAATAATTTAACGAATAAACAGCAGCAGTTTGGGAAAGATTGCTTCGCCACCTCTGTTAATTCCTGACTTTAGGATTTCCATTTTAACCCAATTTAATTTGGGTTTTGGACGTCTCGTTCCAATCCCAAATATGTGATTAAGTTCCTAATGCATTTTTAAGTAGTTGGTATTGGAGTCGCTGACGAGCTCAACTCCTCATATCTGTAGTTGATGGAAAGTCATTTTTATGCCTGCTGCACCCTCAGTGAGCCCTGCAGTCAGCAGGTTTTAAAAATCACAGGAAAATCTCCTTTTCTTTTCTGCACAGCTTCCAGAACTGCATCCCATGCCGTTCTCTTAACTTTTGTAGTTTCCTAGGGAACAGACAAAAGTTATGTCAAGACTGATGCCAACTTTTAAACTGATTTTCCCTTAAGGACGCTCCAGTTCTCTAAAGAATAAAGATTGACGACTCAATGTGTAAATCTGAAAGGCTCCATTTGTTTTAAAAGAGGATATTTCCATGTAAATGTAACCAGTTCAGTGATGCACAAAGTTGTTGGCTTTATGGTTCAGTATTTAAGACAAAGTGAATCAAATGTTAACAATCTCAGTTTGAATCTTTGTGTGACTGAAACATTTCTGAATGTTTGGACTGCGGGATGAGGCTGCATAAATCTGATCAGAACTTTTCACAGTTGCTCTATAGAGAAAATGACGACCAGTGGACAAAATGACAGAACGGCTCAGGAATCCGCAAAATAACTGCGCGCCAAATTTCCACATTCCTCATGGAGTTACATCTGTACATGATGCCTGGCCAATCAGATTGACTCTCAAAGTGCTTGCACATTTTGAAGCACACAAGAGTTGACAAAGGAGCAACTGAGGAGAAAAGAAACTAAGAGTTTCCTTTTATGCAGGAAGTGATAGATTTCTAAAAATCACAACAGTTGGAGCCAATTAAATGCATTTTAAGTAAAATGAGTTTTTAAATGGTTTGCATGGACTAGGGTTGACATCTTTATGTAGCTTTCTTTTCAGAGCATATTTAGCAAGACGTCTTCGGAGTAAGTCACCTACCTGTAAAACATTTTCTTTTTTCCCATAACTCCTTGCTTCTAAGGGAAAACCTCAAGAGCAAAGACAGAGGAACAGAAATCCTGCCGCTCAGGAAGCTCCAGTTTAGTCGGGGTCTACTACCGATCCGGGCATCAGTCATTTGTTCAGGTTGTGAGCAATAACAAGTTCAAGGGCTGTGTTTTCAATTTTGCTGAGGAGACTACCCATTTTTCATTTGGGCCAGAAGTTGTCACTGCACAGAGACGCTGCGTGTGCATCCACCCTGTGCGCTTTTTTACCAAACGCATCATAAAGGGGGATGGAGACGCCTATTAAAGCTGTTATTGTTTTGTGTGGTGGAATGTATGAAGGATTGAAGTTGATAGTTCAGTAATGACAAAAGTAAAATAAATGGCATAATAAAGCCTTGATGCTGTTGGTAGAATTGGTTTTATTTAGTTTTTTTCTCTGGCCGTGTGTTAAACAGTGGAGCCAAAGGTCTACGTTTCCGCCGGCTCGGCCGCTCTGATCGACGGGGGCAACGACACCGTGGTGGCCACCTGCATCGCCGAGCGAGCTCGGCCCCCTGCTGAGGTGTCTTGGGAGTCCAACCTTTTCGGCCAGTCAGAGGTGCAGCTGTTTGACGACGTCAACGGCACGACCAGCACACAGGTGCGCTACATCTGGCAGCCGACGCGCCACGTCCAGGGCCACGCGCTGACCTGCGTGGTGCGTCACCCGGCGCTCCAGAGCGACTTCAGGATCCCCTACCAGCTCAACGTGCATTGTAGGTTTCCATACAGTCGTCTGGATTAAGACAGATACTATTAATGTAAAACTGTCATTACTGGGTTGAGAAGCTTTGTTTTCCTTTTTTGCTTTCTGACTAAGCAGTTTTTCTCTTTTTATCCTCACTGTTAATATTGTCGGCATAATTTAAACTAGCAATTCATCAAGTCTGATATTTTGAATTTTTAGACACCTGGGCAAGATGACAACATTGTATAGAATGGAGCACCCAAACGGGGACTTTATGCTAATTTTGAATGGGAAAACCACAGCAATCTCAGCTTCAGAGTTATCATCACAGCATATCAGAAATGGTTCTTATGTTTTAAAATTGATATCAAAACCATGCTAATATATTTTGCTCAAAAACTGTGGAAATTATTGAACAAAGTTGTGATTTAAACATGTTTTCCTCTCGCTGCAGTTGCTCCTGATATATCCGTTGTGGGGTATGACGGGGACTGGTATGTGGGCCGAGAGAACGTTCAAATGACGTGCAAAGCCAACGCCAACCCACTGGCTCATCACTTCAGATGGATCAGGTGTGTGTTTCTGTTTAAACTCAATAAGCTTTTTTTTTTTTTTCCTGGCCCAATGTAAGGAAATCTAAATCTTTCCATCTTTTAGCACAAGATTTAGTTGCACTTTGTGGCGTTTCTGCAAATGCTCTCAACTCTGCTGACAGTTTCCTTCTATGCTCCTTTTAGTCCTGTATGTTTCATAAGCGTAACCTTAAATGTAGAGCCTTTGTAGGATGTTGAGGTTAAGTAAGTTGGTTCAAAATGACAGCCAACACAGGAAAGCATTCACTTACAAAGAGCAGAACGTCAGCTGTCGCATCAATTCCCATCTAAAGGCTTTACTGAAGAGTTTTGTATAAAAGTGTAGCATAAAAAAAACGTCTTTTAGTTTTCAGACATCAAAGATGCCCTCTCAGACAGCGAATGAAGAAAATAAGTTTGAAATTTTGCACTAAAACTCTAACCTGTTTACAATCGTAAAGGAACAAATCTGTGTCTATTCTGACATAAATATTACCAGTTACTTTACCTGCAGTAGATAACTTTTGGGGTACAAAGATGAAACCCAGCCACACAATTATGCTAAGAGTGAATTTAGTGATATTAATGTTGATTTTAAAGTGTTGGTATAGAATATTTAGAGTGAGCTTTGGTGGCTGTCCAGACTTATTCCTGTTTGCAGAATGGACAGATGAGATACTGGTTCCCAGTCAAAACAAAGTGGAAGGAAAACATTTTTAAAAATAACTGAATCCAGAAGTCTGTGTGCATTTACTCTATGCCTTCCTTTTACAATATCTGTGAATAAAATCTGGGATCTCTTGACGGGACCTGAACAGACATTGAGAGCAGAATGGATCTAAATCCAAATGGGAATCAATGTTCAGATGTAACAAACGGGATCTGAAGAGTATGCACTACGTTGTCCATCAAATAAAATCCCAGGAAGTTGTTTCTGGTTTTAATTTGATGTGGAAAAACTTCAAGTTGTCTGTTCTTTTGTGAATGGCCTCCTGGATGAGGCTCATGCTGCTGCTTGGAATCCTTACTATAGCGTGATTCAGATTTCCTGGTGGGGTGTAGATGAAAGCGGTGCTTAGGCTCAAAGTAACTTGCGTCTCCTAAAAGTGAGCTCACTGTGTCTGACAACAAACAGAGCCTGGTCTCTATTCTTGGCAGGCCTCTGCTTACTGCAGGGAGGTGCCTCCAAAATGCATAAAAGCGATATAAAACTTCTCTTAAATGCAAACGACAGAAACATGCGTTCATGTTTTTTAATTAAATATGGTTTTTGCGTGTCTTGTCTTCTCGTGGTGCCCTCGTGACTCGTATTAAAACCTGCCACTGCCTCAAAGCAAATTAAAGCTGCTGTACGTAACTTTTATTAAAAAAATAAGTTTTAACATGTTGAAACTATCCCCATGTCGTGATGGTATAATACGAGACAGATAATCTGTGAAAAGATCAATATACTCCACCTCCACCCTGTGCCGTCTGAAGAAATGCACCGCTCCCTGTCACAAACAGTCGGATCCAGGAGGACTGTCTCAGTGCTGTCAATCAACCTCATGAACTCGCTTCTCAATGTGCTAACGGCGGAGAAACAACTCATCGTTACAGGAAAACTGCTTACGTCGGTGGCTACGCTAACTAGCTTGAGCATTTGTGACACTGACGCTGCTGATGGAGAGAAGCTGTAGCGTAGCAGAGAGGTGGGTTGTGAGCAGCGTGCACATTGTCATGATTGACAGCGCTATGACTCTCCTCCTGGAAGAAGTCAGAGGAGCCCCATTTAATTTTTTATTTTTTTTTTCAGATTATGTTTCATATTCTACAGTCACAACATAGTGACAGTTTCAACAGATATGTAAAAAAAATAGATTTTCCATAAAAGTTGCACAGTGCAGTTTTTACAAGCTACATAAACCTATAAAATGCTTCTTCAGATCAGCTGTTATTACTAGTTTCTGCTGGTGGTTTGTTTCCGGCTCGTCTCTGATGTTCTTCCCTTCTGTGTGTGTTTTTCAGATTGGACAGTGAAATGCCAGACGGCGTGGAAACGAGGAACAGCACATTGCTTTTCCTGCGTCCCCTTCATCGGAATGACTCTGGCGTTTACAGGTGCGAGGTCGCCAACGACATTAACCTCCGCAGTCGAGATGTGCGCATCCTCATACAAGGTGAGCCGAGTTTATAGACGGGAACACAGCTGACTCCCAGGAAGCTCTGTGCATGCGTGTTCGTCATTGAGGGCATGACACTGACCTTGTCCTTCGAGCTGAAATGTGACACTGTGCCACTCTGAAGCTTTGTGTACAAACTGAACGTATGAAGCAGTCTGTGATACGGTGTGCTGGAAATGATCTCAGATTTGGACCTAGCTGCATGCAGATTAGCCGTGATTCGCATGAGGCCTCCAGATGTTCAAACAGGGAGTCCCTAGGTCAAACAGCTGCCATTACTTAATTCCTCTTAAAGACCACAGTGCACTGCTTTTCTGCTCTGTCCTGTTGACTTGATGCTGAGGTATGTCATATATCTGATGTGCATTGTGAGCATGCTCCTCTGGCCTCTCCAAGTCTCTCTCGTCTTGAATGAATCTCAAAGCTGTGATTATTATGGTTTTTTTTTTTTTTTTCCGTTTTAAGTTCCTTTCCTTCTTGTGTTTCTTTTATTTCTGCATGTGTCATGCAAGTAAGAAGCAAAAGCCTGCAGCCTCACTGTGAGATGATGTCCCAGATTCATAAAACATTAACTAGTCCTTTTCAACTCTTATTTATTATTTATCATCCATATTTCATTTTCCTTTGAGAGGACCTGTATGTGCGTGTTTTGTGTGTGCACGTGTCGGTGTTCCCTTCGCTGTATGTGTCGTTGTGGGTTTGCTCGTCTCGTTGTAGAGTTTACGCTCTTGAAGACAACAAACCTCTGGGTTCATGTTTCAGGTTTCTAAGCTGGGAGTCTTTGCCTCACATTTGGCCCTGCGCTGAAGTTACAGTATCAAAGTGATTTTTTTTTTTCTTTCCATTACTTTAGCTGCTTGTGATTATAGCCTTTGGGTTGCCTGTCTGTGGGTATAACCACTAACCTACTTTCCATAAGGAGGGTTTTCTCCGGTGTGGGGAAAGTATACACACAAAATAGGGGCTTGAAAATAATTACATGTGTGCGCTCATGATTAGATATCCAGGTGCAAGGGATGACCCTTACTAGCCTTTTTAAATATAGTGGTATTGTGGTTTATTTTTTTGTAATACTCCTTTGTGTAACAGTTTGTAAATCTTTAAATTTCTCTAGTTTGTGACTCTTTGTCTCATAGTACCTCTAACCTGGAGCCATTGGTGCTAGAGGGAGAGCAGCATTAATATAATGTTGTTGGAAAGGAACGTCGAATAAAGGGAATAACAGTTTGGTTTGCTTTTCTCTGCAGACGTAGCCAGAATTTGGCCAGTGATCATTCAACTCATTTCCAGCTTGACTGGATCTGACTAGTGGCCAGCCGGTCAAAAAAAAAAAACGTAAAAATCCCAAAACGTTTTGACGAGTCAGCACAACGCATTTACTAATAACACTCTTCAGTGTGAATGCTGTTACTGAGTGAAGACTCAAACTCATGTTCAGAGTCTCTAAGGTTGCATGTAGGAAATTGGACTGGAAACGTAATTGTGTAAATTTAAAGCAGAACACTGCAATAATGGTGTTAATTACAATCAACCTACTTTTGTTTTTGACTCTTAACCACTCTTTTTTTTATCTTTAGCATCTCAACCTCTAAAATTGTGCCTAAAACTTGAACCAAAAGGCGAAATACATTATTGGTTTGCATAATTTAACGGTCCAGGAAAACACTGGACGCCGGCAAGCAGCCGGTTGTGGTTGCGACGTCACACACATTGATATTGCAAAGCATATTGCCATTCAGTGTACTGTGCAGCCCGAGTAGGAAGCTATTTAAAACTGAACAGCATTTTCTATTTTCTGCTGTTCATTCAGAGCTAAACTTTAGCGAGCGCTGGTCATTTCGCTCCTTCATCATTTCGTGCTTTTGCAGTTTTAGCAGTTCTGCTCCCGTAAAGGAGCAGTCTACCATAGGACATAGATCCATACTTACCTAGGGGATGTTTTGTTGAATTGGCAAAAAAGCAATCTGAGCCACAGTCGACTTCAGGGGATATTAGAAAAGGCTGAATGCATTACAGTCTTTCTTTGGAGGGTTCGACCTCTTTTACGGGACATGCTGGGTTTAGAAATATTACCAAAGTTTTAGAAATATCAGGTCTGCATCATCTAGAAAGGGAATGCTGTACTAAACATGCTAACTATATAACTTTTGAAATAATCTTTTGGCTGTGCAGTGGCAGAGAGGTTAGTATGTCGTCTTGCATAAGAAGCTCCTGTGTTTGGATCCTGTTTCTGTTCTCTCTGCGGTTTCTCTCCTGGTACTCTAGCTTTCTTCTTACAGTTCAAAACCACGGATAGATATCTGTCTATGTAAATAGCTGGTTGCCAAGGCGACCTGCAGCACAGCACGCCAAATGATTTAACTGAAACTTTCAAGATTTATGGTTAAATAGTGTTATCAAACATTAGCTGTGACCTTCTTCCAGCAGCTGCTAGCAGCAGCAGCAGCATGTTCAGTACCTCCATGGAGACGCCAGGAGTTTTTGATTAACGGCTTAAGTAAGAGAAAGTGTTTTAAGAGAGAGCAGTTTCTTTCCTCTGTCGCTTTTTAGTGCCTTTTAGTGAATAATCAGGCTGTGAAGAGCCTGAAATCAAAGCAATAGGATGTTTTATAGCTCAGACTATTGTTTTAGAGGATGCAGGATTTATATGGGGAAAGTGCTCAAGCCGTTATATAAATAACATTCCCGCCTGCTGACAGTTCAGCAACAGATGACGAGGAATTTCCAGAGACGTCCGACACAGAAAATATGGCTTTAAAATGTGAATGTTTTTATTTGCGTGCTGAGCATCCACTTGATGGCCCTAAAGTTGACTGAGCTCTGTATTGCAGGAAAAAGGAAATGGTGCTAGTCCTCCCTTTTTTTTTATTTATTTATTTTCTTTTGTGCAAAAATCACATCCAAGCTCATTCATTCTTTTTTTGCGTGACAGCATAAAATGTTCTTTAAGACAACACATTTTAAAAACCATTAATTGTGAATTATTGTTGGAAGACAAAAGCTGCAACTCAACTGAACTGTGAATTTTGTGAACCTTTCCATTCATGTAGAGAAAAATTTGTCCTTCAAACAGACCAAGGAGAAAGATGATGCGACAGCCACTGCTGGCATTTCAGGGTGTTGATGTTTTTAATTTTAGTGATGAAAATAACTTATGACTTTTCCATTATAAACTTGGTTTTTTTTTTTAAGTACTTCTGAAAGGTTGCTGAATATAAACCAAAACTTTGCTGTACTCAGTTCAATCTTCCTGTTATCTGCTAAAGTCGGATCGGGGGCGATGTTCACCATAACGCCCCACGGCAAGATATAAATTTACATCCGGTGGCAGACGGCTACAAAACAACCAAAACGGAAATGTAGGGAATAGTGAAGGAGCAACATGACCAGCAATTCTTGTTCAGCTCGCTATTGAACATCCAAAAATGTTCCTTATTCTAAATGGCAGCTTTTTTTGGTTTTCTACAAATTTGTTAAAAAAAAAAAACAACAAAAAAATGCACTGAAAATGAAAATGCCTCGATCTGAGTCTAGTTCCTACAGTAACAACTTCCACACTGAAGAGAGGCGTTACTGCAGCCTGGTAGTAAAGTATGGTGCAACCAATAATTGGAAAAATCGATCTATTGATGCTGGCTGGTTAAGATAAGTTATTTTCAACACTGATCTACTAATTAGTTTTTTTTTTTACAACAACTTTCATCATCTTCTCACAAAGTCGATGAACTTGATTTGAAGTAAAGCCCAGAAAACAAAGCTTAAGTCAGAAGTACATCGTTTGGTGTCTCGTTGTTCCCAAACTCTAGATTTTACTCCTAACTTTCTCGCAGCTTTAGAAACCCGTGGCCACTATAAGCATATAGACATTAGATTAGTTGATTATCTGTCCCTTCTTAGTGAAATGCTGATGTAGATGCCATTGACATTTTCTGCTTCTGTCTGTTCATCTCTCCCCTTTCGCCCTCCATCCCCCTCTCACCCTGTTCCCCTCCATTAGATCCTCCTACCATGCCTTCCACCATTACCGCTCCTGTCCTAACCGGCTCTTCCTCCTCCACCTTTGTGGTCGATAAGGGCCACGTCCTCCTGAGCTCCCCCACACTTGAAGCCCTGCCCGAAAGTAATCTTGGTTCCATAGTGGGTGGAGCCGTGGGCGGGGCCTTGTCCCTGCTTCTGGTGTTATCTGTGGTCGGCGTGTGTTACCTACGGAAACCGCAGACTTTTCACGGCAGCTACTACGCCAAGCAGAACCACGGCACTGCTGATCTGCAGAAGGCCGCCGGGCAACACGAGCTGCGGCCCACGAAGGCTGGCGGCGGCGCTAGCACCCGGGATCATGACCGGGAGGAGTGGGGCGACCGCGAGCTCAAGCACGAACGAGACCAGCATCGCTATAACGAGTACAACGGGGAAAAGTATCCCGTTAACGGCTACACGAGGGCCATGAGGGAGAGCGGCCGCCTCAACCAGCAACAGACTCCCCGTCAGGAACACGCACAGTTTTCTAGTCCACAGCGGCCCAGGTGCGCCAGATACCCTCACCCACCTAAACGGCAGGGAAACGGCTCCCCCTACCTGTCGGATGACTGCTACGACAGCGGGGCCGACGGCGATTACGTGTCGCACACAGACGGCTCGCTCATCTCACGTAGAGAGTGGTACGTTTGATAAGCTGGATGGTTCTGCAGGAGCAGAAATGCAACTAAGGTTTTGTTTATGAAGAAAACACCTTATTGTATGTGTACACACACCTCAGTTCTAGTTCTCTGCAGCTGGTTTGTTTTCAACTCTTTGGGACTGGATGGTTTGGACGTGGAAACACTGGGAACTCTTCAGTCAGTGTAACATCTTGGTACCTTTATCTGTAAAGAAATGAAGTGTGTGCTGTTGCTGCCTTACTACATGGACTGCCACAGTTGATTTAGCATGAATAATGTCTTTTGAGTTGAAGCCCTGGTGGCTCCTGATAGGTGGCTGCAACAACAATCAAATTATGTTTCAAGCTTTTTCCAGCTGATCATTTCATGCCAACTTTACCAGACTCTGTTGGTTAAAAATGACTCATTTGTTTTGTTAAAATTATCCCAAGAAAATGAGTTGCTTGCAAAGTTCTGTAGCTTCTTGTAAATACATTACTTTAAGTTTCATCTTTATGTTTTGCAAAGATGCTTGATTGAGATTGAAGTACAACATCAGTGAAGCCCTGTAGATAGCTGAACAGTCATTGCTAAAATGTTTCATTTGGTTTAAAATCATTTGGCTGCTGTGAAATTTTTAGTTACGAAATGTTTACTCAAATTAGGTTGTCATGTACTTTGTTTATGATATGAGTATTTATGGAGGAGATTCAGAATTTTGCATGGCTCGCCAACCATTTGGTATCTCTTTCTGAGCTGAACGGGTCGGTTGAGCCGATGTGGGACGTACCTAACTTGTTAGCTTTGTCGTGTTTGCACTTGTTTACAAAACCACTAATATTTTCCCTCTGTTTTAAACCATGAAGGTAAACTTACAGGATTTAAGCAAATAATTTCCTGCACAGGAAGTTCGTTATGCACTAGATTTGTCTCCGTTAACGAATCTGATGGCTTTTGAACTTTAACAGCGATGAAGTGTATTGCACTGCCTGTCCCACAAAACTCAATGACTCATTACACTAATTAGTTTTCATTTGGTCTGCTCTTATGTAAATCACGAGGTAAAAATGTAGGACATAACATGGCTGTAAATGAACTTAAGGAACATTCATCCTGAACTGATGCAGGACAACTTTCGTTTTTCGTTGATCATTAATCCGATGCCATAAAACGAAATAGCAGGGAAATTACTTCCATGATATTTTTAGCTTTTTCTGGGAAAAGTTCCAGGTTAGTTATCCTCATCAGTTAGCCAAGCATGTTCACAGTATCCTGCCACCTTTTTGTATAATGATGGCTCTGTTTAAGAGTTTGGTCGCTGGCATCAAAAGCGTGCTATCAGCAGGATATTGTTTGAAGCAGGCTACTGCAAGGCAACCACCACACGCTGGCCTCCTCATCAAAAACTGCTTTGTTGCATAATTAATTTAGATTTTTCACATTTCATTTTTCTTTTTTTTTTTTTCTTTTTTTTTTGTCGTAACACTTTTCCACACAAACCACCAACAGTTTTCTTTTCTCCTGTCTGAACAATTTTACATCACGTGTTGCAGATGCAAGCAGAGGCAGTAATAGATGGTGGTAGTTCTGTAACATTCATTCATCCATAGAGCAGAAAAACTTAAACAATGTAGATGCATCAGGTCTGTTTCTCACATGATTATCGGCACTTTTACTCCATCACTGCACAGAGACGGAAAATAGTCAGTTGCACTCGTAAAACTGAAACTACAAAAAAAATATAACGCTTGAAAATAACACTTTGTTTTTTGTAAATTTACTTGCCAGTTTATACTCTTGAACATGAGTACTGTGACTTTTTTTTATTTGTTTTTGTTTTTGTACTTGTCGGTGTTATTGGGCTTCACAGCTCCAGTAGTTCAGGTCTCAAACATTCACAAATTAAAGTGATGTAAAGTTTATGTACGCAGAAGAAAAAGCAAAAAACAAAACAAAAACGGTATCCTGGCACTTGTACCCATTTACTTGACCACATGGAGGAAATCCAAATATTTTTCTTTTCATGTACACTAATTATGAATAAATGCCAACTTTATTAGTATGATCACACCTTTACGGCGCGAGCTGCCAGATGCCGACTTTGTCGAACTTGTATTTAGAAGTAGGGAAGCATTGCCTCACATAAATAACAGTATCATCAGCGTATATAGATAAAATGTATCACTGTTGTGTACAGGGTAGACTAAAATAGAAGAGATGCTTTATTATCAGAGTAACGGTTGTTAAAATGGGAAAAAAAAGTGTATTACAAATTACTTGTCTGGTTGTGAATTTTGTGCAGTGACTAGGCTGCTGAGAGCGAGAAAACGACCACTTACTGTTGTCAGCAAAGTAGTAGTATTACAATTTATAGAAAGAAGGTGCACACTTTCATAATACCAGAAAAAAACTTGATCTCTGCTTATATAAAAAAAAAAACTTGAGGTAAAAATTTCCATTAAGTTTGCTGCTGCTATGTTAAATCTATTTGAAATGTTTTTTTGTTTTTTTTTATTGATTTTTTTGATAAATCAGTCCTTATCTTTCACAATTGTCCAACTAAACAGAAATGTACGCTGTAAAGACGATTTCAGCTGCCGGGTTAAACGGCCACTTCTCCCTATTGGATTCGTATTGCGTACATGTGGAAAACAGGAAGCACGGCACTCTGAACCCTACTTGTGCTCGCTCCTATGCACTGAGGAGGAGATTCCTTTAATCGATATGTTTTCAGCTCGGCTCCTGGATCGATGAAGTTCTTTTGTAACCGAAGTTTTGTATCCAGATCATCAGTAACCTCACCTAAGTTGAGAAATACAACTAGTGCCTTAGATACTTTTTTTTGTTTGTTTGGTTGTTTGTTGCTTATGATGGATGTGACGTATTTTCTCTGAATTGTATTTGATTTTGATTTCACTTAGTGCCAGGAGGAATTCTTAGTGCCATATTCACCCAGACAGAGGATGTTGGTTGTATATTTGCAAACCTAGAGGCATTTAAAAAAAAACACTCAGTAAAAGCTTTGAATGAATTTTCCTGTGAAATGAGAGATCTGTAAAGGGGGTTGGTCTATGTAATGTCACCATTGTTTAAAAAAAAAATCTTCAGTGTCACATTAATTTAAAAGAAAAAACTTTTTTTCTTTTTTGTATATACAGCAGAAAATGTAAGATTGTGGGAAGGAAAAAAAAAAGTCATTGAAAGCAGTGGAGCATTATTTTGTCAATCCTTTTGAGAAACTATTGTTCAATAAAGCACCTTAGCACCTGTGAGTTTCTTCTTCTTCTCTCTGGAGTGTTTTCAGCTTGCCATTACTCAGACTGCTCAGACTCAGCCTCTTTGTTCATCTATAAATGACATCATCTCAAGCTCCCCAACGCATACTGCTGCATAACTCCCCCACCCCAGCCCCACCCCCTCCAAAAAAGAAAAAAAAGAGAGAAAAATCCAGCGTGTGTATTTGGGACGCTCCACATGATGTAATTCGGAAGCCTTTTTTTTTTTTCTTCCTCCTCCTCCTCCTCCTCTCTCACTTCATCTACTTCATCTCATCTTTGTTTCTATTTAGGCTGAGGATTTATAGTTTTTCCTGTACTGCTGAGCTGTCGGTCTCTGGTATTTCTGTGGTCAGTGTAGACCCTCCTAACGCTCGCCCCTCTCCCCTCCATCAGTTCCCCGCTCGCTTCGTCTCAGGACAGGGAGGCCTTTGCTCCTCTCCTCTCCTCCGCCCCGCTGTCTTTCTCCCGACGTCTGCCAGCTGGTAAAATTAAACGCTGAGTGTTTCCGACTGGCCCAAAGTCCCCACTCTCCAGCCCATTGACTGTCCCCATGGCAACAAGCTCATCTGGAGCTGCTGATGGAGGCTGTTGTCCGTACCTGGCCACAGAAAGCGGTGGGAGAGGGGCCTGCCACGGAGCGGAGAGGTTAAATGGGGGGGACAAAAACTGGAAAGAATTAGCTGCTTGTCGTGAAAATCTTCCATTTATTCCCCCCCGCCCGCCACTCGGAGGGTAGAAACCACACCGCCGTGTGACCTTGACTCTTCAAAGGTCACACTTCAAAAGTCTTCATTTCAGCCGACCTGTCCGGCCACGGAAGGGTTTCCGTCTCGGCCGCGGCGGTCGTCACTCTGACCTCAAAGTAGGGCAGGCTCACGCTCTCTCTCGATCTGAAAATAAAATGCCGGAGCAGCTCGGTAGCTGTAATGATGTCAGCCGGCAACGCTCTGAGTTTGTTTTGAGACACTTGTGTAGAAGATCAGCAGATTTGCTTTTCGCCTGCGACACAACAGTTTCCAAGGATACTTTTCACGACACACAAAGGGACTAAGCGAACGTCTCAGCCGGCACAGAGGGATGCAGCGCTGACAAGAGCGCGTGTGAGGGAGAGGCTTTGGTATCATCTCCCCCCAGCACCCTGAAAGAGGTGGGCGCAAATACGAACCCATTATTAAAACTTTCCGCCCCTATCTCCGGCCTCTGTCCCCCCGCCAGGTCAGGCCTGCTCATCGTAGGAGAAATAAAAACACGTTTACTCTTGCTTAGGCCTCTTTGGTTAATTCATAAGTCTGCTTCGCCGACCCTCCCCGAGAAACACTGTGCACTTCTGTTGGCCTCAGTGCTGCTGCTGCTTCGTTTTTTCTGTTGTTGTTGCTGGAGAGGCATGCAAAGGACAGAAGGGAGCCAAATCCCAGTGTGGGCACAGTTGATCCACCAGTGATCCAAACCGCTCTCTGGGTGGATGGTGTTTAAAGCAAAACTGCTTGTAAAAAGTTAAACTGTTGTGACTTTTAAACAAAGACTACATAAGCTGTAAATGGACTTCAGGGAAGAGTATGTGAAGGTGCATCTTTAAAATGAATACACACACTGAATTACAGGAATTAGTTTTTGATCGCCAACTCAAATTATAGTTGGGTTCTGTGAGATCTGAATATTTCATAAGATCAATAAGACAAAATTGTCCTAAATTTAGCGGCCTAATGTGCTGTTGGTTTCTGAGTTTTTATTTTTTTAGCCTGCTTTATGTTGCCAGTCAGGTGGGCTCTAGATGGCGGTTTCTTGGTCATCAGGCCTGACAATAATTTAAAAAGAAAAGTCCTACCTTTCTATCATCTTGGATGGATCATTTCCCTTAAGAAATAAAATGATTGCAAACATTATTTTTGGATTTACTCAAATTACCTTTAATATTAAAATCTGACAGAAAAAATACTTTTTTTTTATTCTGACTGGATTTTGATTCACAATCCTCAAGCCTGTGGTTATCAGAGTTTCTTGTCCACATTTTTATCTCCCACTAAACTTCCCCTTAATGTTTCCTTGATGCAGCCCTCTGTGAACAGCCAGCTTCTTTTTTATAATTTGACATCCCAGTAGAGGATGTCTGTCTGGACAACTGTCACTTCAC